ATGGCTTTGAACCCACTTTACAGGGAAGAAGAAAGGAGATTTGCTTACCCAGGGCTGGCTCTCCGCTGGGGAGCTTCGTAGCAGCCCGCGAGCCCCCGGGCAGCTGGTCCACCTTGCTGCAGAGCAACTTGGCCGCCCCTGGTTTCTTTTTCTTTTTTCGGTATCTCTCTTTTAATTGTGTTTGTTTTAATGCACCCCTATCTGGCCGGATTGGTAAATTTCTCATTGCAGGCAATGCAAGCCCTGGCCCCTTCCCCTCCCCCTTCTGCCTAAGGCGTGCTCATGGCTGGATGTAGACAAATCATTGGGTGACAAATAGCAATCAGATGCAAATTCCTAACCTCTGAATCAGAGACCTGCCATAGGGGTGGGCTGCCCAGCCAGGGACCATCTCCCATTTCCCCAGCTGCTCCCGAAAACGCGCAGAGTTTAGGGGCGGCCCAGATGTTGGGAGATTTAAAATCCCAGAAGCCCCTTTTGAGCCTCATGGCCATCCCATTACCTGGCGGTGGTTGGTTTTTTGTATATAATTTATTATCTTTGCAGGCACGATCCTTGTTCTAAGTGGCTGGTGTCCTTTTGGTGTAAGCTGTTGAACTATAGATTATTATTATTTTTTTAATGACATCCTTGCAAAATGTAAAATGAAGACCTTGATCCTGCAACCACCACTCAAGCCCCTTTCAAGCTGATGCGGAGGGGAGCTGTGCCCACGAATACTAGTTATTTGCCTAAACGTTTGCAGAATGAGGATTGTAAAGGCTGCTCAAACCCATGCAGAGCTCCACTGACTTCAGTGCAGGTCTGTGCCTCGGTTTCCCCATCTGGAAAATGGGGGCGGAAAGATACCAAGTGCTTTGAGAGTCTTCTTTTGAGTAGGCTTATTATAATTTGAAGTTTCCCATAAAGATTATACCCCAAAGCATCAGAAATCATCCTCTAGACTCCTGGCTCTGCATTTGTTTAGAAAATTAATACCTGTTTCTATTCTGGCCGATGGGGTTGGCTTTGCTGTCCACAGGCACAAACCTATATAGACGTGGCTCCTTTAAATTTAAAAAAAAAAAGGGGCTGACGCGTAACTGCCTTTAGGTTGGTGGTGTTGCACATTAGGAAGCGTCTCAAAAGAGCCCGGAAGGTAGAATTTAAAGGGGCACTGTCCATTTGATTTTTTGTTTTTGCAAATACTCAGAGCACGTGTGTAATAACTTTACTCGCAGGAGTAGTTCCATGTACTGCAATGGGGGCTACTCAAATTACCCACTGGTGCGTAAATCTTTGCAGAATCAGACCCTCTTTCTTTTTTAAATCTAGCTCTGGACTGATCATTCTCTAAATAGTAATGTCCTGGATTTGATTACTTTTCGTGAAGTTTTTAGCGCCTTTGAAGATATTCAGAAGGATGTTTCAGTAAAGGAAAAACTGAATAAATCTTAACATTGACAGGAGGTCAGACCATATGATCATCATGTTTCCCTTGATCTCCTGTACAATTCCTGCATCAAGCCTGTAATTTCTGTTTGAGCTCCAGCCTCTCTTTGATTTAGTCTTTGGGCCCCAAATGCTCCCACACAGCTGAATTGTTTCTGCTAGGCTACCAGGAGTAAAGACTACTCTGGGAAGTCAAATCAGCAGTTGTGGCTAGAAAACACTCAGGGAGCAGAGGGGAGGGCATAAAAAGGTGTCATTTTTATAAGAAAATAACAATACACAGCTCTCCTTTGTGGCTCTCAAAGCACTTTACAAAGATCAGTCTCACTGTCTTCATTTCACAGGGAGGGAAACTGAGGCATGGAAAGCTTACAGCCAAAAGTTCACAGGCGTGCCCACTGATTTGGGGTGTCTAACTTCAGACATAACAGACTATCATGAATCTGTGACTCTGGTACCCCCCAGTTTTCAGAAGTGCTGAGAACTCACTACTCTAGTTGAATTCAGTACAAATGGTAGGTGCTCCACACGAGTGAGAATCAGGCACAAAGAGTCTGCTGTGTGGCCCCCAAGAACTGGGTCACTCAACATTTCTGCCTTGTGTTCACGAGGAAGAGAAGTGTGTTTTTAACACATCGGCTGACACATGGTAAAATCGTATTGGGGACAAGGCAGCTGTAGTTTTAACACGTGTTAGCTGGTCAGGTACCTTGACCCCAACACGTATTAACCAGCCAGCTCTCGGGGTTCCTGAAAGTTGACAACACTGGTTTAAGCATGTTCATTCAAGAGAAACTTTCACAGCAGTACTGTTGCATTTTGTACAGCTCCATGCACATTGCTGGCACTAAATACATAGTAAATCCTACTTATTTCCCAGCTGCAACCTCAATCACTAGACGATCACGGTGTCCTCAGACTCCGTATTATTGTTTGGATTCCCCTAAGGATGTTATCCTTGCAACTATATAATTTCTTGCAGGAAATTAGTTTATTTCAAACAATCAAGTCAATACCAGGGGACTTGAATTTTATTTTCATAAACACAAGTTATTTCCTGCTATAAAATTGCAACACAGCAGTTTAATATTAGGTCAAGAAGGCTATGAAGATCAACCCAGAAAGGTTCAAATAGATGCTTTTGTTAGGGACACAAGCCTCTGTTAACACAACCTGGTGGTTGCAATTTTAATTACACAAAAAGTCAAGAAATTCAAAGTTATAGTGTACAGCTACCTTGATTGGCAAACTGACACATCTGAAGAAGTGAGATTTTTTACCCACGAAAGCTTACGCCCAAATAAATCTGTTAGTCTTTAAGGTGCCACCGGACTCCTTGTTGTTTTTGTGGATACAGACTAACACGGCTACCCCCGATACGATGCTTCACTTGACATTTACTGTATGTGTAAAGTTGAGCGCACTCCATTGTCACAGGGCATATACAAATGAGTCAGCATGGTCCTATGGTTAGTGCTATGGAATGGGAGTCAGGACTCCTGCCTTCTTCAGAGCATTGGACTGGGACTCAGGAGACCTGCATGCAGTCTGGGTTGTGCCACTTACCTGCTGGGCACAACCGTGCCTCAGTTTCCCCATCTAGAAAATCTGACCCGTCAAGCGCTTTGAGATCTACAGGTGAAGAGGGCTATATAAGAGTTAGGGGTTATTGTTTTATGTTATGGCTTGTGATGTTAACGTTAGTACAGTATGTGCATGTCTCAGTTACAGCTGCCATGAGAATGCTAGATCTTTCTCAATCAGAACGGTGCATTAAGAACAATTATTTAACCTTACATTTTGTTTCACTGTTGACAATAAAAACAAATTTACCAGTGCACAGGTAAGGAAAAGTGCATTTCCTAAACTAGGAAAGAATCCAGCAGGTCTTAATAATTAGCACTTAATATCCCCAAAGCTCACTAAAACCCCAATCAGTCCTCACGGATACATTGCAGCACAGTACAGTATTATCACACACACCCATTTTACAGATGAGCAAATTGAGGCACACAGTGGGTAAGGCCAAAAGTTCCAGAAGTGGATACTAATTTTAGGGACCCAAGCTAAGACATGCTGGGCCTGATTTTAAGAGGTGCGGGGCACCCAAAACGCCCCTCAAAATCAGTCCCAGCGTGTGTCAACTTGGGGACCCCAACCACGTTTGTAAAGTTGGGCCTAAGTGACTTGCAAAGCTGCAGACGGAAGGAGAAGCAGAGCTAGGAATCGAATGCAGCAGTTCCTGGCTCCCAGTCCAATGTTCTGACTACGCTGCCTCGCCTGCAAGCTTTCGTGCCAGGCCCTGCTGCATAGCTGAGGATGCAGGACACACGATGCACAAAACCAGAGGCAGTGGGGGCCCAACAGAGAGAGTGAAAGACCTTCTGGTCCTCATTGTAGGGGATTTAAGTTGCAGCAGGAGGCTAAAGGGGAGAAATGATGGGCTGGGTGCTGGGAGATCCTGCGGATGAAGATCCAGATGCAGCTAATCATCTGCACAGCTGCTGTTTAGGATGGCCTGCCCTCCGTATACACTGAAACCGGGAGAGGAAAAAGCACCCTGGGCGTTTGCCCTGAAATTTCCTAGTTCAGAACTTTATTACGAGCTTTCAGAGCTCACCCTGTAGTCCCCTTAGGATCTTCAAGAGGGCGTGGTGAGAAGATGGAACATTTCCTGTGATGCAATGGGTTGCTCACACCTGATGTACCTATGAAGCGTCACCTGAATCCTAAATGTGAGCTGAGATGCAGCTAACTGCTCTAAGCTGCTTTCCGTTACCAGCTGCATCAGAAGAAGGGGGAAGGCTCTTGTTGTGCCTTTGTCTAGATCCAATGTCTGAAAGCTGAAGTTGGTCAGATAACACTGGTCCCACAAGTCTAGAATTCTCTCTGCCAGTGGCCAGTATCTAATGCTGTAGAGAGGGACATACGTGCAGTGACCTGGACAATTGTGCAATGCTGGACATGGATGGGGCAAATTCCTTCCTGACCCCTGCAGGCAAACTCCTTATGCCCTGAAGCATGACATTTGATGATTACCCTTATCATAGCATGCATAATTACTGGTGTGATTTTGGATCACTACATCACACACCCTTTCCTTCGGGTTCCTGCTGTGATGAGCAACGCAAGGATGGACGGCACAAAACTAAACAAAATCCTGATTTTCAAGTAAGGTTAACTTTGTAAGGCAGAAAAATATCACAAATTTGTCTCATTTCCTTGTACTCTCCTGCCTGTCTGTATCGCTCTGTTGTCTCTTGTCTTATAGTTAGATGTAAGCTCCTTGGGGCAGTGCCTAGTGCAACGGGGTCTTGGTCCATGAACAGGACTCCTAGGCGTTATGGTAATACAAAGAAATAACAACGATGCAGGGAAGGTTGTGTAGTGGCTAAAGGAGACGAGGAGGAGTCAGGACTCCTGGGTTCAATTCTCAGATATGGGAGGGAGTATGGTCTAGTAGTTAAAGCTGGGGGGGGGCGGGACTTCTAGAGCCAAATGAATTCCTGGTATACCCACCATGATCTGATTTTCTTGTCTTTGCCACATGACATTGGGCAAGTCAACTGATCTCTCTGGCCCAGATCCTCCAAGGTATTTAGGCTCCTAACTTCCACATCTGGGGCTCAGCATTTCTGGGGATAACACCCTATACAAGGGCCTGCGTGAGAAGGTAAACAAAGCACTATTCTGCAAATGGCGCTGAGCTCCTCAGATGAAAAGTGCCCCAGAAATGCAAGTGGCTATTGGCAGGGGCGGCTCTAGCATTTTTGCCGCTCCAAGCATGGCAGGCAGGCTG